AAACCAACACTTACAAGTCAAATAAAATCAAATCAAAGTTTTATTCCAATAGACATTACAAATGCATGTGGAATGGTCAATGAAGGTATTATGTTGGTAAACATTTGTCAAGGAAGAGTACAATAGGTGTAGAAGTTTTTTTTACTTATTTCATTTCTATCCAAACAAATTTACACAAATAATATTTAGCAAGTTAGATCCGTGCTCAATATGATTAACTGTTTCGGTCAGATCCTGAGTGTTGCAGCTACAAGGAACAAAAAATGTACGACGGAATGTAAAAAACTCTAACTCAGTGGTCTGTTTCAAGATGTAAACAAACGCTCTAGTGGGCGTTGCGTTGCAGACGGGTTGCACGTTTTTGTTATGTTTTAGTAGTTTGAATGATTTACTCGGTTGAATGCCGTACACTATATAGCAATAATTGCCGTTGTTATTGGTCAAATAGTTCGTTCTTAAAATTTATATTGATTTTCCCTCAAAGTTGTGACTTTTCACTGAAAATTTCATTAAATGTTCCGATAAAGAGTAAATCAATGCTTTTAGTGCCATTCTCATCATATTTTGTATTGCTCGAAGTAAAACTCTGGTTTACTAAACATTTCAAACGTTTTCAAGGTACGGGATTGTATTATACAGTTCAGTTGTTTTGTTGTTACTCGATATAAGATCTACGCACAGTACATACATCGATGGATAGAACTAGTTGTTTTGCCATCTTTCCAAAAGTAAAAAACCTAAATTACTTAGATTTTAGATGGTCAATAACTACATGCTATACTTAAAGTTATTTCTTGTACTGCCATACTTAATTAGTACCGAATAAATTACAACATTATAACTTTTTCCGCTACTACGCTCATTTATAATATTTTTGGAATGATCTCGTATTATAACTTAACTTACACTCAAGAAAAAAAAACTTGTACTCTGTATTGTAGGAACATGAACTACATTCTAATCTGCAAACTTTTCTTATATAATTATATTTTTTAATAGGGTTGCTATATTTGGAAAAATATATAATTTTATTATATATGAAAAGTTGCAGATTAGAATGTCGTTTGTGGTCAATATCAATCACTAAAGCTTTGCGATTAAATCAATCATATTGGTGTATAACAGGAAGCAATTAAATTCAAAACCTTATCACTGGATACAATCATAATTGAGACTTTTGTTTGGTTATAAACTGCTTTTCAATGCGTTCTAGTAATTAAGAGATCCCATGAGCCTTTGTTATGTTTAGTTTAGGTTTTGTTTTGTTGTTGTGGTTGTTTACTAAGTCTGTTAGTTTTGCATTAAATTGATTAAAAGTACTGTAATAACATTGCAAACTAAAAAAAAACTTTACAAATGTTTCAGCAGAATATAATAATGTTTGGTATTCCTACTATGACAATTTTCCCTGGAAAACAACGCTAAAATTCTGTTGTTTATGTTAAAAATAACTAAGTTCAAGTTTTGACTATATCTAGTCGTCACTGAACACATCCCACTTTTATGAAACCCTAATTATGTGTTATACATTTGACTTGCTAGAATAACCAAAGGACACATGTGCTTTCTGCATTGTCCGATTAACCTTCTTGATTCCTAAAACAGAGTTAACATTTCTAACATCTGTGAAAACTAGTTATGATGGGTCATTTGAGTCACTATAACTTAGAGTCTTCTTTGCTATGACATATGTTTCTGTTATACAACCTACACACACATGTCTTAAATTATCTATATAATTAATACGCTACATGAAACTTTGTCGGTTGAACTCCTCCGCCATTTCTTAACCGATTTTATCCATTGACGTCTCATTGGAAAGAGCGTGTCGCGTAGATTTGCAAACTGGCCTTACATTTTTGAAAAAGTCCCTTGGGCTCTGCCCCAGTGGCTTTGAAAGTTCCCATGTTATCCTTATGGAGAACATCATTGTTTACATTTTGATCAGCTGTATTATTTAATTGCTGATATTTATTTTTCAATTCAATGAAACGCATTGAGTACATTTATTTACAATTTGAGTTTGTGTCAACATAACCCCCAAGACGGAACGATAAATACACAAATTTAAGATACAACCATACTAAGGTTGTATCTTAAATTTGTGTATTTATCGTTGTTTTGTGTCACTTCGACGGATCGTGTTGACCCTAGGCAACCTAAACTATTAGATTACAAATGCGCCCTAACACTACCCCAAAACGACTTTTCATTTTCAATTGGCCCTCTAGCAAAGACCTGTGTTGCCTGTACAGCGAGGCATTTTGAGAAGGAGAAAACCGGCCGGAACGCTTTAGGTTTATCAATAACGAAGATAAACATGGACAACCTTATATGGATATAAGTCAGGAAATGTTTGTAGAAAACATTAAAAAGCAATATAATATGATACAATATTTACAGGAAATGTTGATTACTGTTATATACACCGTGAGTATCTCCATGAGTTACACACCAGTAATCTTTGAGTTGACTCTTTTAAACTTATTGTAAATATGACTGTTATTCGTTTTGAAATAACTCCTGTAATACTTTGCAATTGCTCGAATTCGAGCAACATGTACACTAGTTGTACATTAAAATGTTGTTTTAGCAATAAATGTACTACTGTATATCAACAAATGTTATGGGAAAAGGTACTAAATCAAGTAAATAAAAGTAAAAAGTTACGGTTACTTATTCTTATTGCTTACCTTTAAATTAAAATGTTTAATTAGGCTAGTAATCATTACCAACAACTTAAATTATAAAACAGCAATTATCAATATAAAGCACAATTAACCAAGTGATCAATTATCCAATTACCAATTATTAACGAGATGGTAGATTAATTGCAAGCCACTGTTTTCCAGTGGTGAAAACCTGAAAAAATATAAAATTTACCTTGTCTTACAGTAGTCTTATTTCTTGTAGAACATCTTAATCTAATGACTATTGTGATAGATAATCCTATTTGCTTGAATATAATTGAATTTCTAGACAACTAAAAGTTAAATTTGAATCCAAAAGTGTGTTATAAATTCAAACGATATTTAAATTTACATTGCATATTAACTGAGTCAATTGGATGTTGACGAGGTTTCCTAAAGCCTCACACAATTGATGTGGTAAAGTTGTTGAACCTGGAGAGTGGTGAGTGTAAGTTTGACAGTTGGCTGCAGTGCATGTTATGTGTTTGCTCTCACTTCAACAAGCTTCTCTGTCTCTGTACTGTAGTCTGTATGTCTGTATGTCTGTGTGTTTGCTAACTACTCAATCTGGTCAAGTATAACCCTAACTTCTGACGAATAAACTGGAAAGTTTATCTTAAACTGTCAACAATATTTAAAAAACTTTAAAGTCTTTCTAAATTCTTCTCAGAGTGAATATAAGGGGGGGGGCAGGGGGCCTGCGCCCCCTCCCTCAAAATAATGGATATGAAGAAAAAATAGGTACCATTAAATGAATCATTTATGTTGTACTGAAATGTTAACCTTTTGCAGTTCGCCCAAAAGAATGAAATGAAAAATGATTTATTTAATCAGGCAAAGTTAGGGCCACATGGCCCTCTCTTACACTTCAATATAATACATAATATAATACATAAGAATCATTGTATACAGTAGTTATAACCCCTCCTAATGATAATCACAATCGCGTATTAGACTCCTTAGGTTCGGACAAGTGTTTACAGATGGGATGACACACTGTTAAATCTTGACCAATATGTTTTTAGATTTAGTAATTGAGATATTTTCTTCATTTGGCTTGAATAGATACATTTTTATGATTTAATGGAAGGATATGATGATACAGCGTGATCTTGATAAAGTAAATGTCAGATTTAGCGCAAATTACCGCACCAAAACTGAGATAAATTGTGAGATAAAATATAATAATTGTGTGTCTACTTGGAATTACTTGCCCTATCCTTAAATTAATCTCGCCCCCCCCCCCCAAAAAAATATTCTACATAACAACTGGTCCTCTCATAATCCCAAATAATTTATTAAAGAAACACACAACTGGAAAAAACTATCTGTAGTTCAATTTACGCTGGGTCAGTAAGCAATGGGTTTACAATGGTTGTATGAGAGTTGAAGAGAGATGTAGAAGTAGCCACTGTTACAAACAGTTCTTTCCCAGTTTTATGTCTGGACCAAAGTTTTATGAGTACAACAATACCACCCCCCCCCCCTCCCCCACTGCACCTAATCGGGACCATGCCATTGGACATTGTGGCTATTGTTCCTATTTTTGTCATTGTTTTATGTTCCAATCACAAAAAGCTTTCCTCTGTGTTATTTCCAGAAAGCCTCCAAGCTCTTTCATTCATTTTCGTATACACACATTCAGGATTAGTTCCAAAATGCAATTCTATTTTGTATAAATTTCAATTTTTTTATAAATGAGTGAAAAAGATTAGTGAGTGTTTTATTTTCAGTACCTAATATTAACTCTATTTACTTTTCCATTGAAATTATTCGCTTTGCAATCAAAATACTTGCGGTATTGTGTAAGCTCATTAAACTATTAAATTTGTTTTGTGATTTATTCAGTTTTAAAGTTTTCTTCACATTCAAATTACTATTTTCCTTTGTTAGTATGAATGTCGACTCCACAAAACTCCAGTAATTCTGAAAATATCACAGGGTTGCACTCTATAGTCTATACAATATATTCTCATGACTCTTCTACACTTCATTAAAAACCTTTAAAAAATTCAAGATTTTATAACCATCAAAAAACAATCACACAACTAAAACTTGCAAATTTATCAATACACCTCACTTAATCAGTTAAAATAACAAAATGATCACTACTCGTATACTATTCTTCTACTGGTTAATTTGTATACTTGAAAGATTTATCTTACTTACTAAATTTCAGGGCCGTCAATGGTGATAAATAGATGCACCAACAAAACTGCATTAAATTATTTGGCAACAACCCTCTCCATTTATCTACCTTTATCTAACTACCAAACTAATAGTTTTAACCAGTTACAATTTCTGTTACAGAAGATGCGAGTATTCCAGAAGAACATGGACGATGCGTCAGTCCGTCTCTCGTCTATAGAGAACACCCGGAGTGGATGGATCAACCCTACAGAGATCTCTCAAGTACCTGAACTGCTCGAGGACCTGCAGGTATTCTGCTTTAACTGACAGTTCACATACACAGTATCAAATGTCTTTCTTTTTCATAAAAAATAGCTACAGCTAGTATAAATTCAGTATCTAAAAGTCTGAATAAAACATTTATTTAGAGGATAAATATCCAACTTGCAGAAAAGAAGGAAAGTTGTTATTATGTCATTGGGTTGAGATTTTGTTAGATAGTGGTACGGATCTAAAATTGTGCCGGAGATGTAAAAATAATGTATTGTGTCTGTATCATAACGTATAGTAGACCTATCTTCTATACCGTAGCAATTATTCACCTTGCAATTTGCTTGATCTAATCTACGTATTATCTGATCTGATGTAGTCCATACTGCATCAAAAATTACAAATTTCTTTCAACCACTTTATTGTAACTCCTGTGGCATAGTCACAATGTGTAAACTGTGTTTTGATTCAATTTTATTCTTCTGACGACTCCGGATGTTACAGAAACTAGGAGAGCGGATGGGTCCACTGCAGCGTACGCTGGACGAAGTGAACGACCAAGCAGCCATGTTCAACTCAAACAACGTCCTGGTGTCGCCTGCCAACCTGAACAAGCTGCAGGACCTCAACACCAGGTCGGCTGATGTTTGTGGTTTATGAAAATTATTTGTCTGAAATTTGTATTTTATAAATTGAAAAATTAACTGCATGTTTTACTAGAAGCGAAGCTTCATCTGTGGTCTTTGTCTTTTACAACCGGGAAGAACGGAGATGGGCAGTGTTTGTTCTTTCACCATTATTTAATTTGTCCCCAGATAGCTTTTCATTTTGCACTACTTTCCAGCATTCTGTAGCATTTACGCCTGTCCCTTCCATCTAGAAATATTTACGCCTAAACATAACGACTTTTCTATAATCATTTGTATCTCCAGAGATTTAAAATACATTACTTGGTTTAATGGAATATGTATTATATTTTTTTATATGTTAGAAAATCTTTTAAACTCTAGAATCAAAGACATTTGAAGAACATATAAGAAGGAACTTCAAACATTGTACTTATTTTCCTTCCTTGAATCCAACCAATATGTTCCCAAAGCTCCATCTTATACCTTTCAAAGTTGATTTTCAAATCGAACTGTCTTAGCTTAATCCTCAGTTCAATATCTATATTGTGCAAAATTTAAGCTAGTTTGGTCCAAGAGTTTTGTGTGACAAACTAACACGTCGTAGTTAGACCAATTTGGGTGGAAAATATAAAAATTAATATGTTGTATATATCACCAGATGGAAGCTGCTGCAAGTGGGCGTTGACGAGAGGTACAAACAGCTGAGAGACTTGGGTAAAGACGGCTCTCCTCCCAACCAGAACTTCCTCTCCGCCTCCGTAGACCATCCCTGGGAGCGGGCCATCACCCAGAACAGAGTGCCTTACTACATCAAGTCAGTTGATTTACGTAACTGTAAATTAGTTGTATTTTCCAACTTGAGCAAAATTTTCCCAATACTGCTCAGACTCAAGACAGTATTACAAGTTAAGTTACTTATCATGATGCTGTTGACTTAGTGGCTAATCGAAGAACTACAGACTCGAGTCCATGCACACTCTGAACACTGTACACATGTAGATAGATTCTGTAGACATGTAGTGGTGATTCTAAGAAAATATGCCCACGTATTCAACACATTAACCTGCCTGGGGCACAAAGAATTTTTTAGTGACAAATTCATAAACCATCGAGTATCGTCGAAAAGTGTCCTGTCAACTTAATATACCATTTGACTCCTTACCTAAAGAGTTATTAAGTACCTGACTTGTCTGATTACTGCTGTAAATTTTTCTATGAAATGTATATCCTTGGTACTGTAGTTGTGGATGCTGCTAGGCTTTGTTTGTTCGTTAATGAGCCATCAGTGTGTTTTGTGAGTGTTGTGATGAGTCCTTCTTTTTTTCAGTCACCAGCTAGAGACAACTCACTGGGACCATCCCAAGATGATGGACTTGATGAACTCTCTCACCGAATTCAACGAAGTTAGATTTTCTGCTTACAGGACAGCAATGAAACTTCGCACAGTCCAAAAGCGAATGTGCCGTAAGTTTTCATTAATTTCTTGGAATTAAAAAAAACTTAAATATTATATCTGCAAGGATTGACTCCTTTCCATTATATTAATTTCAGTTTCATTGTTTTTTATTTGTAAATACCAGGCCTACCATTAATACACTAGAAAAAAAACAGAGAGATTCTTTAATTTGTTTACCTAACCCGCCATGTTAAACTTCCCTATCCCAAGCGTGATGTATACAGCTTCCTTACTTCTCGAGTGATGTAAAGTTGAAAAAAACTCACTCGGTGATGTAATGAAACCCATTTAAATAACATTGAGTGGATAACTTAAAAAATATACCTCTATGGAGCCAACGACGTTCAACGCTAGAAATCAGCTGTGTGTTTGGATTTTATTGTTATGCTTTGAAGAATTTTCCTAACCTAGCTTTTGTTTATACAGCTCGTGACACCTAAGCTGGCACTTGGCCTAGCGCGGGCAGTACAGGCGGGAGGAGGGTGGAGGTAGGGAAAAGACCGGATTGCAAACATTTCCGCTGCCTCACGGGGTTGACTCCCCTTGTGCTATATACTTGAGCGCCTTCATATGGGTGGCGAGGACCGTTGATGCAACCCGCATGACGGGACATAATGTTTTTGAAATAGGTACTAGTAGCGATCGGCCAAGTGCCAGCTTAGATGTCACGAGCTGTAAATGAACGTTACTGTTAGAAGATGAGTGAAATTGATAATGAAGCATGATATTGCTCGTAACCTCCTGAATATTGTCGGGTCAGGTAAAATCTTGTACGTTACACGTTACGCAAGAGCGTGTTTACATCACTTAGGTAAATTATGCAACTCGCTTCCGCTCGTTGCACAACATTCACCTGCGTGATGTAAAAACGCTCTTACTACACTTGTAATGTAAATAGCTATTATCCCACTACATTTCTATCAGCTGGCTATCATAAACTGCTTCCATTAACTAAAACACTGAAAATACTCATCTTCAAATGTGATACTCAAGCGTCAAATGAAAAATAACTGCAAGTGATTAAGAATAAATCCAAGATTATAAGCTATTAAAACTACACATAGCTTGAGTCTTGCAGACTAGTCGAATATTCTTTGGGGAAATCTGCCGCCATTATTGACTTAACTTCCGACCATCATACTTTGACATTGTTTAGGTACATTGGTACATTGTATAGGTTGTTGAGTACATTGTTTTCATACTGTTCTAACATGTTGTTGTTGTTGTTTACCAGTTGATCTGCTGACCCTGAACCGTGCTATCGAGACGTTTGACAGCCACGGACTGCGAGCACAGAACGACAAGCTGCTCGATGTCACGGACATGGTCACCGTGCTCGCTAGCGTCTACGAACTGCTTGCTGCGGAGAACCCGTCACTCGTCAACGTGCCTCTCTGTCTCGACTTGGCTGTCAACTGGCTGCTCAATGTCTACGACAGGTCTGGGAGAAAAAAGATAAATAATTAAAAATCTAAATTATTTTAAACAGAACATTTTGTAAATGACAACTTTGTTTCTATGCTAGCAAGAATATCTTCTAAAATACGCCGGGAAGTACTCAACAAGCTATTCAACTGTTAATTATTTTTCTTGTTGCAGCCAACGTACGGGACAAGTTCGAGTGTTGTCCTTCAAAGTGGGCCTGGTGCTGCTCTGTAAAGGTCACTTGGAGGAGAAATACAGATGTAAGTCGTAAACCATATCTGCTTTACAGTTGACACCAACGTAATTTGTCTGTGGTTGGATTAGTTAAATTTATTACAAAATGGACGTTGGATCTTTAGATGAAATAAATACCTAAGTTTCTGAATTGGTTGATGTCCAGCTGTTCCCCTGAATAAAACATAAAACATGAAAGCTCTCAAGGAAAACAGTTTTTGTCTTGGAATAATGGTAGGCAAGACATGAATAGAAGTCACCGTTTTGTGTTGGATACATGAGTTCCCACTTTAATAACTAGAAAGTAATAAGTAGATTATTTGGCCAGTAAATTAAATCTATCAAGAGGAAATGCCTTCAAAAGTTAGATTGCCTAAATTGAACCACAGACCTATTGGACGTCTCTATTTTTTGTGTGTTAGAATTTCATTGGTTTTGGTTGATTCACAAGTGAAAATATGATTCTAATCAATTCCCTCAGTGTTCTAAACAAAGCATTTCCATATCACAAATCTGACATCGGCTATGTGCAGATCTGTTCCGACTGATTGCTGACCCCAACCGACTCGTGGATCAGCGCAAGCTCGGTCTGCTGCTGCACGACTGTATACAAGTTCCTCGTCAGCTGGGAGAGGTTGCGGCCTTCGGTGGCTCCAACATTGAACCATCTGTGAGATCTTGCTTTGAGAAGGCTGGGAAAGACAGTAACACAATTGAGGTTTGTGGAAACTATTTCTTTCAAGTAGTGTGGTCAAAGTGCAGTACCAAAAAAAGGGGTTTCTTTCCTACTTATTACTTTTGAAAATCATAATAGGTACTTATTAAATGTGCTCTAATTCAAGACCATGGTAAAATTGTAGTTTATTAATAACTAAGTATCCCAAAATGGTTTGAACATGTATCTATTTTCTATATAATTTAGGATATCTGATTAACCATCTGTGATATTATTTGTCCCTCTTTGTCATTACTTGAAAAAGATTTCTAAAATGCACCCTCTGTGTCTGCAGGCTGTGCATTTCCTCAACTGGCTGCAGCAAGAGCCGCAGAGCATGGTCTGGCTGCCTGTGCTGCATAGACTGTCCGCAGCAGAGACTGCCAAACACCAGGCCAAGTGCAACATCTGCAAGGAATATCCCATTGTCGGATTCAGGTAGACCTAGTTTTCTATTTGGTTATGATAATAAAAAATATATGAAAATACAATTTTATCATGTATGTTTAAAATTTAAATTTCCCTCCATGTTTAGCAATATGTCAAAAGTTATCGTTTACTATCAGGACTTGTGGAGTTGGTTTTCTTGTTAAAATGTATTTCCAACAAATAGATTAGCTTTTATAAGCATGGTATACAGCTTTCACACTGCCATAGTATATAGTGTTAGGAATTATAAACACAACCAATCAACTTAATTCTGTGTTACAGGTATCGTTGCTTGAAGTGTTTCAACTTTGACATGTGTCAAAACTGTTTCTTCTCTGGACGAAAAGCAAAGAACCACAAGTTGACACATCCCATGCAGGAGTATTGCACTGCTGTAAGTAGACAATTGAAACGTCGGTTTAACAATTACCCACAATAAAAAGGGTACAGTACTTATCTATTGAAATAATGTGAATACTTCAAATAAATTTTCATTTTTACAGTACTCTTCCCTAATTCTTCTTTTAAGAACTTTGGGAAATAGTTTCCCAAGAAGCAAACTGTCATTGGGCTACCAATAATTGGTGCTATCTAACAAAAAGTTAACATTAGATAGTCACAAGACCAGTGTTAGGACCAGGATTCTCTTAGAAAAATATTTTAAAATTTCTGTAATTTTCAACATTCATGTGACTGAAAACCAGCTACTGCTGAAAACTGGATTTATCAATATAACAGAAAATAACTTCCTAAACACATCAAACTACATAAACTATGATAACCAAATTTTGTGATAAGTCCACACAACAAATATTAATCGAGCGAACACTTTCCACAGACAACATCAGGGGAAGATGTGAGGGACTTCACTCGAGCGTTACGCAACAAGTTCAAGTCAAAGCGATACTTCAAGAAGCACCCTCGTATGGGCTACCTGCCTGTGCAGACAGTGTTGGAGGGAGACGCTCTAGAGAGCCCGGCACCGTCTCCGCAGCACTCCACACTCGCCCCCGACATGCACTCTCGCCTGGAGATGTACGCCTCTCGTCTGGCCGAGGTCGAACTCAGAACTCGCACAAACTCAACTCCTGACTCGTAAGTGTGCATGTGTTATCAGTTTAAATTGCAAAGTTCGTTCAAGGTTCACCTGATGACTGAATCGTAGACATTTCTATATTGAGGTTTGGAAAACCTCAGTAAACTTGTATGTTAACTTTGATACATACTATTGCCTTTTGGACACTGAAGTAGACAACCCATCTAATTGACCAGTTGTAGCCTCACAGATTGCTCTAAAGTGTAAAGTTCTTTCTTCTCTACCAGCTTAAACAAGTTTTCCTATTTGTTCGATTTGGTTAAAAGGTTGGGATTTTTTGACAAAACTTGGTAATTTACACCAGTACATTGTCAGTAGCTCAATTAGACTATGTAAATTTTATTTTAAAGCTGGTGATATAACATGAGGATGGAAAGTCTCAGTCTTTTAATAGTCAAGCTTTGACCCAGTACTATTTACAAACATTGGATGGAATTCATCAAAATTTGTGTTCTGTTGCAGGGAAGACGAGCACCAGCTGATAGCGCAGTATTGCCAGTCACTCAACGGAGGTGATGGTGTTACTGTGCCCCGCAGTCCCGTACAAGTTATGGTGGCCATAGACCAGGAACAGAGAGAAGAACTTGAGGCAATGATCAGGTAAAGCAACTGTGACTAATAAATGTACGCTGCGTTTGAATTAAAACAAATTAATATTATACTGGTAATGTAAGAGATCGCCGCTGAATACTTGTGAATTTTGCTTTCATTCAATTTCTCAATGGTTTATAATCAGTTTAGTTTCTATTTATACTTCATACATTCACATTTTGTAGGTTTAAAAAATTGTCTGGCTCAGCAAATTTGCTTTTATAATTAATTATCTTTGTCACTTGGTTTATTTCTTATTTGTAACCTCTAAAAATGTGATGAAGTACAAGTAACACAACATTTTCATACAACCATCGATTTTTGTACCCTCTACGACAGTGGTGTGATGAAGGAAGAATCATTATTGTTTATAAGGGAAAACTGTCCAAACTTTTCAAATTTTTGTGGCCATTCCTTTGAAACAAAGACCCTAAACACTAGCCTATCAACACTCCCTATGACTGGGAGGGGATTACTGTATGGTCTGATACTACCGGTCTCCGTCCCCACAGAGAGTTGGAGGAGGAGAACGCCAACCTGCAAGCGGAGTACGAGCGACTCCGCAGCTCCAGCAAGGCGACTCCGGAGTCGACACCAGAGGAGCTGCGAGGCGGAGACGCCCCAGACATGGCGACGGAGGCGAGACTGCTGAGGCAACACAAGGGGCGACTAGAGGCTCGCATGCAGATCCTGGAGGACCACAACAGACAACTGGAGGCTCAACTGCAGAGACTAAGACAGCTGTTGGATGAGGTTAGCCACAGAGTAGACACTTGTAGTCGGGATTTTAAGCTTTCTTTCATTTAAAAACAGCATTTTTATGTGTGTCATTATGACACACATAAAAATGCTGTTTTTAAATTAAAGAAGTCATTCCTTTTTCCTAAACATCCTCCTTTTTCTGGAGTTGAAGTTTAAGGCAATGTTGCAACTTTGCCACACTATATTTTGTTATCCAAAGTCATGAAACATTCCTCAATGAAGTTTCAAGTTTTCAAAGCTCATGGTGCTTTGATTTTTATGAAGCAGATAAATTTAGCGGAGTTGACATATCTTGAGCGAACAGTGCTTGCCTTCTACCTTTCATCTAAAGCAATTGTAGTTTCATTTATGTAAAAATCTGAAGAGCAAACTCAGAACTAATTTCAATGTTTAAGACATGAAATTAATTGTGTTTTGTTCTTCCGCAGCCGAACGCCAGTGGATCGCCAATCAAGACTGGTACGCTGCAGACTCGGTCCGTCACGGCGTCTCAGTTAGCCACAGACTCACCGGCCAAAATGAACGGACATTACACGGATCATCCAGGTAAACCACCTTATCACACTACAAAAATATGCTCCTACACTAGTTGAGAAAAACAGGATTTTATCATTCGTTACTCTCCCGTCATTTTAAATACTGTCTTTCTATAACGGGATAACAAAGAATGAAGGTTAATGGAATTGGGAGAAGTGAAATAAACTGTCATTATTTGTCAAGAATGTTCCATACATTTTATTAGTTGCAAATGTGGCACTTATAGTCTTTTTGTTAGACATCATCAGTTAGATACAATTATTGTACATTTTGCACTTAGTTTCTGTAAATAACTTGTACAGTGAAATATAATGGGAATTACATTGTAAAAATGAATAACTGTAAACAAATACATAATAAAAATTTTAAGAAATAGTAATACTATGTTATGTTACTACATTGATTGTATATTTGTAAATTTTGATTATGACAAGATTTTAGAGATACCTAGTTATTTATTTTTATATGGTTTTAGAAAATAAAACCAACCATGGCTACTAAACAATGCATGAATTTACTAAAATCTTTTGGTGGTTCCTTGTTCGTAAAGTTCATGAAAAATTTCATAAACATGTTTTTAAAGCATTATTCCTAAAACGTCACTTTTTTGTGGCTAAGACACATAACAACCTTCAAAAAATGTTGTTTATACAGTATACACACAATTTTAATTTTTAAAAATTTTTTAGTAATGTACCAGAATTTTACATCACAAAAAATAAATCTGATCAATCAAGTCAACATTTTCTAGCTTTAAGAATTGATTCCAAACTCCCTAGACTGTATTGGATATTTTATAAAGACACAACTGAATCAGTTGGTCCAGGGGTTGCAATGCATGATATCATTATAATTAATTCCACCTGATACTGTTTTGTCTGTTAGTGTATGTATGGAGTTTCTTAGAGTTCATGAAGCAAATGACTTTGTCATCACACTGACAAAACTGTTAAAGGTCTTAAACTCTAGATTGGTAAAGGCCGAGTCTTGGATGCAGTGCAGGAAATATTTTTGAATTATGAAAAGGAAACCATTGCCACTAGGTGCCGTGAGTGGTGAAAAAACTTGTTTTGGTGTTTGTTTGCACACATGTTTCTGAATAGTCTTTTTGGCAGAGCCAATTGTTTTCAAAAGTCAAACCTGAACCTCATTTTTACTATTATGGAGGCAATGAAAGAAAGGACCCTTCCACTCCAATAATGCAAGGGTTGTATTGCCAAATTTCTTATTACTTTCTCTTGCAGGCTCAACATTATTAAAACGTTTTTATTAGCTCGCTTTCTTGTCCGGTACAAATTTTGCAATCAATTTTATACTAACTTCCCGATGAGCTAGAGACTTGAAACTTGAAACATAGCTCACAAATGGAAGACAATGCAATATTTTATCATTTAATTTTCATATGTATAATATATATACACAAAAATACTGTCAGAAATTTATTCTTGGATGGTTTCACATAGCTGGATAACTGAGTGCTCGCCTAGTAACCAAATGTTGCCGCTACAATCATGAGAAAAGCCCTATTTTCATAATTTAAATTTGGGCCCAGCTGTTCTTGATCATAATGAACCTGGCTAGAAAAACAGCTGATCTTAGTCAGATTCAGTTAGCTATCATATAATTCTTTCAACATTCATCCGTCTCTCATTGTCACAACGGAGTTGTATTTGAATAAATAAACACCTTGGGGTGTAAGTATCATACAAATCTAATCTAGTCAGAATAATTTTTAAACAGTGAGAACCTTCCAAACTACCAACAGTATATGGTTTTTGTAAGCCTTGCCAATCTAGGGTAGGTGTATGGGTGTGGGTGGTGACAGTTAGGTTATGTTGGCCAGGAGGGCGAGGGTGGAGTGAGAGAGGCAGTCTAGATCGGCCGCCACCGCCACCTGTCAGTGCGTCTCACAACAACCTAGGCCATCTACATCACATGGCAGGTCTGCAGCATGGCTTGTAGTGTGCTGTGTGTAATGTTGCGTAGCTTTGCCGAATAGTTATTGAGTAATGTTTGGCAGATTGAATCTGTGTTATTTTTGGGCGAGTGATGTTGAGTAACATTGAGAAAGTAATTCTGAGAAATGTTTGTTTGTAAGAGTGATCCTGTCAATTCTGTGTAATGTTTGAGCGTAATTTTTTGGGCGAGTGATGCTAATTAAGTAATGTTTAGGCTGGCAATGCTGAGTAATGTTTTTAAAGTAATACCATGTAATATTTCGGTGAGTGATTCTAGTAATGTTTGGGCTAGTAATTCTGAGTAATTTTTGTGAGAGTGATTCTGTGTAATATTTGGGGGAGTGATTCTAGTAATGTTTGGGCTAGTAATTCGAAGTAATTTTTGTGAGAGTGATCCTGTGTAATATTTGGGGGAGTGATTCTGTGTAATATTTGGGGGAGTGATTCAGTGTAATATTTGGGGGAGTGATTCTAGTAATGTTTGGGCTTGTAATTCTGAGTAATTTTTGTGAGAGTGAGTATCAGTATTGTTTGGGCGAGTGATTTAAAGTCCAGCTATGTTGTTCATTACTGTAGTTTAGTTTGATCAGTGCTTGCTCAACCGCTTAAACTCTGGAGTCCTACTAAATATATTTTGCCGAGTAGTTTATTTGCTTTGCTTGTTGTGTGCTGCATGGCTTATTGAGTATGTCGGTCGCTCCTCCATGGCTTGTGTCATTGAATCTTGTGTTTGATTGGTTTGTGAAGTTCACCTTGTATTTTGAATATTTTTATTGACTGATATTGGCTGATATTGATTGCCCATTTACATGGTGGATTCATAATTGTATAGTTTAAGCTGGGTTTTCCTAGACGCGGAGTCGGTCAGCGGAGAGCGGACAACGGAGAGCGGACTCAGCTTGTCTTAGGTAATTTAATGTTACTGTTTTCCTAGCAGCGGAGCGGAATGCCATGTTAATTTCAATTCCGCTCTCCGTTGTCCGCTCTCCGCTGGCCGACTCCGCGTCTAGGAAAACCCAGCTTAAGAATACAGTATGGTATTTCCATCATACTTGTAAAATAAGTTTTGTTTGTTTTGCTGTTCTGAAAGCTTTGTGTCATTTATAAAAAGTAAATGCTGTTGGTTAAGTATTTTCATAATTTATAGAAAACTAAACTCATCCTAAATCAATTGTATTTATTGGAAAATAAACAACACATAATAATGTCTACTTTCTATTCTACTACTGTAATGAAATCTAAGTAATTAATGGACCTCCAATTTGGCCCTAATTAAAACTTTTTCTTCCTACTCTGTACTTACTCATATCATGTTGACTATATGAATTTACCATTTATATCAAAATTATAAAATATATTTTAGGTACAAAAGTTTGGTGCACCAAGTTAGGGTTTTCTTACACTACATTTGACCTTACCAATATTTACATGTTTAAAAATAATACATTCATGTTAGACTTATGTTTTATGTGTATGTTTCTCTAACACATTATTATTTTTCATGCAACAGCTGGGAGAATATAAACTGGTAGGTTGGTACTTTAGAGTGTCATTCAAATGTTGGTTTTAACACCCTTTTCATGTATTTTTGGAAATACAGATAGTTGATCTTTTATTGTTTTTTGTTAATTTGAGAAAACGACCAATTTTTTATAACAACATAAGGTTTAAAAAATACCTGTAATTTAAATTGTAACAAACTATTTTAATTTTTGTGAGGCAAAAATTTATATATATCCTCACATCTAGTTTGAGATTGCAAAGTGAGGTGCTAACATTTATTTTATCAGTAAAAAAAAATTGTATTCAAACAAACACTACAGTATTTTATTGCAAAAGGCTCTAATACTTTGAATATTATTAATGTGTTCTCAAAAAATGTACAGTATTTCAAACATTTTGTTGAGAGTATCCCTTACTTTGCAATTCAATTAGAATAGTCTATTTATTTTTAAGAAGATTGTACCTACATCGTTTATATTTTACATTATCTTAGTAATGGATTCGCCTGATTGATTGTCATTTCATTTTACATAACAAAAAATAGTTTGTTTATTTTTTAATTTTAAATGACAGGATTTTGTGAGATACTGTATGTGAAAAATTAGCATAAAGTTTAGTTTATTATACTAAATGTTTAAGGTTTAAAAGCAAGCTGTTTCTTTTGTGCTATTTTGTCCAAGTGGCTTGAGTAACTTAAACCTGATAATAAATTATATTAAGTTTGTAAATAATAATTAATCTTTCTGAACCAGTATTTATTTGCAGGAATCAACAAAATAAGGTATTATAACAAACTAACTAAGCCTGTGTATTGTTGAGTAGGAGACCTCGGTAAAGCTGTGTCGGAGTTAGTGACGGTGATGACGGACGATGACCGAGCGTCTGCGAGCGATTCCAGCAGCCAATGAGATCGCACAACATGCCTCGACCGACCAATCGCTTCCTTGCATCTTACACATTTCATTCTACATATCTGTCAATAACGCTCGTCATATCCTCGATAAGTTTTAATTAATATTTACATTGTAAATGACATAATATATTGTTCGATATTGTTAGCCAATTTGTAAGTTAGTGACGACCTACGTATAGAGTTAAGGGGTTATTTACAGCTTTTGATGATACGATTAATAAAAAAATGTTGCACAAATTTTAGTTTTGTTTTGTTTTTACCCTTTTAGTTTGTTTTGTTTTCTTATTTGATTATTTTACTGCAAGTGAAGAAGGTATTATTTTTAGTTACAAATTTCAAAATGTTATTAAAAATACCACAAAAAGCACCAGTTAGTTTATTCTTTTGACAATTAAAACATTCAAATAATTTATAATGTTAAAAAATAAATATAAACAACTAAAACTGTGCTTAAAAAATTAAAACTACTTAAACCTCATTTCACTCATCATCCTTTCTAAAAATGCAAATAGAACTTTAAAAATCTCAAAATCTTTTACTTGCTTGTACTTTTTAACTAAACCCGATTTACACACAACCATCTTACATGTATATATTAACAATTAACAAAAGAATGAGTGTGTGTGAATTTGTATTAATATACACACATTTAAATACAGTACAATCATAGACAAATAGAATAAATATAGACTGTCAAAGGAAGGTTCCGCGATGTGCTGCTGGAGCGTGCTCAGTGTTCGATTCACTGCCGTCGTCAGCTCCTTGCCATATGCAACCAGCAGACGCTGCAGCGGTGTGCCCCGTAACTACACAGCACTCCTAGCAGTGGACACCAGAACATATGATAACCGCAGAACTGCTGTCGGTCCATATTTATTTAATTCTTTTTGTCTATGACACAATACACCATAATGTTCCATAGATAATGTTTTTCCAAACTACAGTAGACTTGCTCAATATGTGTTCTCGGACCAAATGCTTACAATCATTTTGTAAAAACTTAAATCAAAAATTTTCATTGATCAATCTCTGTCACATCTTTTTTACTACTTTTTACTAATTAGTAACTGCTAAACACCTGTGCCCAAAATTAAAATGCTGCTAACCAAACTTTAAGAAATACTCATGTATTAAACCTCCCAACTGTATAGAAGATTTTTTTTCAAACAGTGATTTTTTTCTAAACCATTTTGGTATTAACTCTACTACAACTGAAGTGCAGACTTTTATTTCTTAGCTTTCAATGTTGACTTAGGAAATTATTGCATTAGACAGTTGAATCTGGTATGTAGTTATAAAATGACACAGCGCAACAAATAGGGTTAATGGAAGCATTTTTACATTTTTATAGGGATAAAGTGGTTTTATTGTTTTATGTACAGACAACTTTCATGTTGACCATTACCTTAGCACAAGCTTTAATTGTGAATGAAGAGTATGTGCTGCTTATCAAACACTCAGTCAAATCTTGATTGTAGATTAGAATCGCAACTACTAGGTAACATTTAAGATATATGTTACATTTCTTGTGATGTTTCTCATTGATCTTGACGGTCTCTTTGTATAAACATGTTTTTTAAAGCCACTAAAAAATATTTATGCATATTATTTACATCCAAAAATGTATTGGTATTGTCAAATTAATCAAAATTTAGTCTTTTTTAGAGATGTTAATTTTAATTACAGAAAGTTACTAACCAGCAAACAAATTGTAGCCAAAAATAATTATGAAAGAAAAAAGTTATGTATAAACAACAATGTAAAATATCTAAGTTTCAAACATCTTAATTTCTTTTGGAAGAATTCAAGAATGTATGCATTACCAACCTGATTATTATAATGGATAATTTAGAGTTTTGTTACTGAACTTTCACTAACAATTTTCTATGTCTTATTTTCACTTAGGTACTTAACAGAAGATGTTTGAAACGAATACTTCTTTTAAATTAAAAAGGGATTTTAAAATCAAAATACGGTATAAGAATTGTATTTTAGCTGAGGGAACATATATTATGATTTCCTTACACATGCTCATCGGAACTTATTATTTTATTTTTTCCACATATTAAATTTTTGAAAAGATCTAGAATTTTATCAAAGTTTTTTTTTTCAATTTACTAATTTAAGCGTTCATTCCTAATATTAGTAATATTTCAGCTACAAAGAGAGTGGGTATTATCGGATTACTTTTTGAGAAAACCCCCTCTAAGAACATTTTATTTGTATACATCTTAACTTACTTGAAACTCAATTATTGAATCAAGAGGTGCCTCATCCAGTCTTGAAAATAGTAACGTACACTTAACACACACTGGCAATGGAATATTTTTTTAAGTAAAACTTGTTTTGACATGAGTCTCTTAACATAAAATTTTATTTCTAGAACCGGTACCATGCATTAAATTGTGTTTTATTTTAAATCGTATTAGGCTTACTATAATTGTTGCATTATTGTTTTTTTTTTTTACTCTTAATCAACAAAATGTGGTCATGCACCAAGTATTCCATTTGGTTTACACAATCAACTAATAAGACATGAGCCATCAAATGCCACTGATCAATCTAAGGTTTGATTGAGTAGTTCTGTTTTGATGTCCATTTGTGAATTGTCCAATGCCTGATAGTCTAGGCCCCGTGCATATCATGTAGAATAAGTTGTACAGACGCCCCTACCTAGTGCTATGTTATTCTAGCTCAAACTCGAATATAAGTATATGAACTGACTCTTTATACTTAATGTTGAAATATGTAATTATGTAAACAGTTGGTATATTGAACATGCAATAATTGTTTAAATGATTAGCCTAAGAACTGAACATCTTGTCTACCTATGTGTGCTCTTGATTCTTGTACTTTTCATACTGATATAGATTTCTAGATTGATTTTAACTCGAGATTAGTTTTTTGTTGCAGTTATGTATTTTGTGAGAATCGATTTTCCTTTAAATGAGGCTGGATATAGTAATCCTTAGGTTATATGTTTGTATGTTGGATAATATTTAAAAACAGAAAACTACATACTTTAAACAAAAATACATTTGTGTTTAAAGATTTGGACCAACGCTTAATCAAAATGTACTTTTTACCAATTTTTCATAGTTTTACATAGCATGGGAGAAGTGAATCCTTTAAGTTTAGTAAACAGTCTTCGTTTAAGGGAAAAATGACTAAGCTCAGTACATGTTATAGTTGTTAATTTGTAGTTATTTTTCTACGTAGTTTTGTTTTAGGACTCAATTATTGTTCAATTGTGAGACTGTTCAGAGGGTATCTTCCAAATGTCGTTAGTTATAACAAAAGTTAGTGCCTCGCGCACTGCTTTGGTTAATAAAATGTTTCTCCTTTGTAATGTTGGACTTGATTTCCGTTGTTGACTTTTTTCACTTATGATGTTGGAATAACTGTTTTGAATACTTCACGGTATACACTGATTCAACCTTTTTTCATAAAAAAATGGAGAATTATACATACTAGAAATAAGAACTGTTTCTTGATCAGTTTCTGAATAAGAAGAGCAGATTTAACACACAGAAATGAGTTACAGAGGAAACTTGGGATGGACCGTGTGCTTTCAGCTCTAGTAGGCCTATGTTGTGCATGAGTGAAAATTTAAAAACGTACGTTTTCATGTCCCTGGCCTTTTACTTCGTAGATACTGGTTTTGTAGTTTATTATTATGTGTTTTAATATTTTTTGGGACGGGGGCAACATGTTACACACATTTATTTGGTTTTAAATAGGTTCTAGGTATTTTTTTCGTATTTTTAAAGTCTCGAAATTCACGACCATGACGTGTCCCTAGGGTAAATTTTCCAACTTTCACCCTGTTTTTAGACTAATTATTCATGCCGAAATATATAAAGCCATATTTTTATGTCATCAATGGTTATTAAACTTACAAAAAAGGAGCATATTATAATTTTATTGTCTATGCAAACTGACTACCATGACAAAATAAGTCTGTCCCTCGATTTGGCGTCACGACCATTTGGGAAAAATTTTCAACTTTGGAGCACGACAGTGGCAAGCCTGGCGTTGATAGAGTCAGTTGGTTTTAGAGACTAGTTCGGGGTGTACGTCAGGATTGTAGTGCCGGTCGTTTCGAGTTGAAAGGAGGAATTACAAGATTAATAAAGGAAAGATTGTGTTTTTTGTAATTTTGGTGTGTCCATGACCGTAAGTAGTCATTCGATGAAGTAGACATGGTGTTAATTTTTGTTTATAAGATATTTCAATTGCTAGATTAACCTAGAAGTCCACTTTGTATCCTCGAACATGAGGTGCAGGGCTACCGCCAGAACAGAGCCGAATAACACGTAATTTCACGACCAAAGTTTCACGACCATCGCGGGTTTTTTCACGACCAATCCAGGCTTATGGATTATAGTGTGTTTGGTCGTGACAATAACTTTAATAAAATTGTAATTTGAACAGTTTAGTTCAATTGAAACACTTATTTTTTTTATAACTAACAGTATAATTGAAGGATTGTTTAGAAAGATTTAGATTATTTCAGAAAATTCACGACCGTACCGCTTGTCCCTGACCATCACGTTTATGATTTCTATCATAAAAAATTCAAAAATTAAAATATCGTCATATTTCAATGTTTTATACACAAAAGAAGCACACCTCTATACAAACATAACGATTTTTCGGGTCTCAGGTAAGTTTTTTCGGAGTTATACAAACTTAAAAAGATTTTATTGGCTTTTTTTCAAGTTTTTGAGTTTTTTTTATTTTTTTCTAGAAAGACCAAATATACCAAAAGCTCAGTGACCTTTTTATTGTATAATGGTCATAAAAGTAAATTAGTTTATAGCAAAACATAGTTATAAAAATAATATTAACTATTTTTAATATTCATTTAAATGTCTGTTATGGTCGTGACAGGATTTTGTGTTTTTCCACTAAAGATGCTCTTTAAAAAAAAAAATACCAAAGATATTGCGTTACCATGGACATTTTATGAAACTTCAAATGTTAATGAAATAAAAATAATAATAAAAGTTTTGAAAAAAGGGGGAAAAAATTTGCAAAGTGCTTTTCCTGAAAACGTACGTTTTTAAATTTTCACTCGCATATATAGTTGGGGAAATATACCTGTGAGAGAAAGGAAGAGCACGAGTGGCGAGCACTGTGCGGAAGTTCCTATCCCACAGAGCACAGGGTCTTCCCCCAGTGTGAGCTAGGTACGTGATGGCGAATAGAGTGGAAAGGGTGGTTAGGAGAAGCAGCGGCTT